TCTGTTGATGATTACATTTATGCAATCAGTGAATCAAATCTAACTCAGAGATATAGTTTGGCTAATAACAAGTGGCAAGAGGGAGCTAAATTGCCCTGGGCAAGTGATGGTTGTTATAGGTTAAGTAATGTAGCGGCCGTGGTTTTAAAATCTAAAATACATGTAATTCATGGATGTGAGAAAGAAGAATGGATTAGTGGGAATTATTTTATGGAAAGGTGGGTAGGTACACCGGCTATAATGCATTGCTTTGACCCAGCAAAGAATAAATGGGAAAAACACTCGTCAACCTGCCGTCCTCACTTTGGATCCAGTCTTTTCATAGTCAATAACGGACTGTGTCTAGCTGGGGGAAAAGTTTCCTGTGACAGTTCCGGTAAACCAAAAGGTAACCCTGCCGCTGTTGAAGTGTATAAAGAGGAAAACAACACTTGGTCTGTTTTGGAGCAAAACCATATTCCCCCAAACAATCTTAGTGCGGTAGAAATAGAAGGGAGGGTTTATTTCATCATCAACAAATTTCCATTTGACAGTGGCATTAGAATCCCACCAGGGGAGATGTATCACATTCATTTAGATGAATGGGAAAATTTGGCACAAGTAAGTGACAAAGCAGTTTTGTGTTATCTTCCTGTGAAGAGAGAAAGCTTGAAAGCAGAGCACGATGAAAGTCAAGCTGACTAACAATTGAAGTTTCGGCACGAGATGGCTTCATCATGTTCAATAAACGTGCGAGATAGCTTGTTTGCAAAATTTTTCAGTTAGGGTAATCCAGAAGAAAGGTAATAATAAGAAGTACATGATGTATTGGTAAATCTGTCTGTTAAAAGAGTTTTGAAAATTACAGCGATTTTTAATCATGGCATCTTTGTAGTTCCTACTTTGGAAACCAGGTCGACTACTGTTAAATTTAATCATAATAGAGATAGGACCCTGCGCGAGCTCTGATTGATCGAAAAACCATGTTTTATTAGAGTATAAAACATAGAAAAAGCTTGTTTTATTGTTTTTCGCCACATTAGCTCTATATCATAACTGAAGAAGTCTAAGCCGAGTATTACAGTGTGATAAAACACTCCTGACATTTGAGAACATTCGAGAAATGTAGAAAACACTCTCCTGCGGCCCGTGTTTTCTACATTTCTTTCGTGATCTCAAATGCCCGTCGCGTTTTATCACAGTGTAATACAGGGCTTAGGCTTCTTTATTTGTTAAACATAACTGTTTTAGATGAAACATTAAGGTGCTTGGGTTTTTTCTATGTCTGCTGTATTGTGCAGGCATCTGATTTAGAGTTATGTATACGTGTTGTTAGAGCTAGAGTTATATGTAGCCAGACATTGACAGTAGTCAAAGAGAAGTATTCCTTTTAAGTCTAATACCCGTTAGCACTGTATTTCATGATGTATTTTAAATGTCACAAAGTTTCAATAGTGGCAAAATATTATGTGACGTCAAAACAAGAAGTGTATTCCTGGTAGATTGAGGGCCTGAAAGGCGTTTTAGGAAATAGGGAAACCTCATCATTTATTCAAAGGGAAATCTCTACTATTAAAGGAGACTTTCGGAAAAGAGTTTCAGTAAGTGTATAATTTACTGATGGGGAACAATTGGGAGACTTTTTTTTAGAGATAAAGGGAACATGTATATTTCCCTCAGAGAATCTCATGACTGTGTATTAATATTTTCACGCGCAATAAATATATCTTTTTATAATTCCACTTGTAACGCAATCACGCGATCAATTAAACAACAACTATATACAATATCTTAAGTAACCTTTATTGTTTGCCGGAAATAGCAAAGCCACATCGAG